AGAAATAGTGCATTTTACAACATATTATCTACACTGTCCATTTTCAAGATTTTCATATGTTCATAGATCTACTTTATTTTAACCATCATTAGAATTTAAATTTTTATAATTAAATATAAAAATAGATTTGAGATAATCCTAAGAATATTTTACATCAAAATTATATACCATGATAAAATTTGAAGATGCACCTTACCTCTACACCTACGGATGCATCCGTATGCCAACTGCAAACACATGTCAAAACTGAAAAATCGCACTCAGAAGATAAATTTCAACATCTAATTCATAAATTACACAAAAAAGGATAAAACAAGCCAATTCAGGTTACCAAACAAAGCAAAACTGTCACCATTGGAATTGAGACAGGTTACTTTTCCAATTTCTATCCCACTAATTTTCATTTTCGATTTTATACATCAATTTGCAAATCCTAATTATGAAAGGAAAAAGTTTTCCAATTTCTATCTCACTAATTTTCATTTGCGATTCCATACATCAATTTGCAAATCCTAATTATCAAATAAAAAAGTTTATATAAGGTTGAGGCTCAAAACAATTAAATTAAGTTGCAGCTGAAAAATTCACGATAAGTAGTTTCGATAATGAAAGACCCTGAAATCCGATCATCTTGACCTTGAGATACATGAATGTTAAAAAAAAATGACTTCAAGTCTTAGAAATAATACATCTTATAATGTATTATCTAGACCATCAATTTTCAAGATTTTCAGATAGTCTTATATGCGCTTGATCTATATTATTTTTGAAGCTTTAAATTTTATAACTAGAGATGAAAATAAACTTTAAACCACCATATACATTTTCGATGCTGGAACATCTTTCGACATCATTTAAAGGTGCACCTTAGCCTTATACAAACTACACCCCATTATCGAATACCCAAAAGAAGCCAAGTCTTGTCAAATGCCACTATAGGTAAACCGGGGCTACAGTTTTGTCAAGGAGATCTGCACCCCATAAACGTGGCTTCTCAAATGGCCCAAAAGGAGCCATGGCTTGCTAATACAAATAAACACTAGTGAGGACCCTCTAAAATTGGTGAGCAGCCACCTAAATTCCCACCAAAATAAATGCGGCCATAGAAACGGGGTCCGAGTAACCGATAGATCGGCCGGTTCAACCGGCCTAACCGGGCAGGTCTCGGCCGGTCCAAAAGTGTTAATAAATAAATAAATAAAATATGAAAGGTATATTTAAAACTTTATTAAATAAAACACATCCAAATAAAGTTGAAAAGTAATGAAAAATATATTTTTTGCCGCCAAAATGATTTAAAATAGGGAAATTATTGCAAATATACTTATATTTTAGTAGAATCATAAAAAAAATCCCTAAAATCTCAAAACCTTGCCAACACCCTTTTTCATTATTTTAGGCCTTTTTTTTTTTTTTACCAAAATTACCTTCACGGTAGTCTTTTTACCACAATGAGCATAACGGTAATTTAAATACCATAATTTGTAGAAAAGGCCATACGATAATTTATATACCTTAATTCTTAGGCATTTTATACCGTAATTTAATTATCATAATGTATTAACATAAAATTATGGTACTTGAAATACCATAATGTCTTCCACATATTACGGTACTCCCCCGCCTCTCTCTCTGTCTCTGTCTCAAATATAAAAAAAAACCCACTTCTCCCGAGCCTCTTTCCTTCGAATATTTTCTCTCTCTAGACTCCCATATTCAAACCTCCCGCCTCTTCTCCCTTCCCCATGTGTTTTCTACACTTCTCTTCAAAAACCCATATCTTTCCTGCCTCTTTCCATACTTTTTGTTGTCTTTCTCTGATATGTAAAGGAAACCATTAACGTTTTGAAACCCAATTCTCTTTCTCTAACCCTTCATCAAAAATCTCAATTCTTGGTGCTTGATTAACATTAATTGACTCTGGTCACGGCAAGATCTGCAACTTTTTTCGATCACCCAATTGACAGGACATGAAAAATCTTTCCACTTTTTTTCGACGAAATTTGGTAACTTTTTATGGAAATTTGCATCCACAACTCTTTCATAAAAAATAGTGAACCGAGAAAAAAAAGAGAAAAACCCCACTTTTATTATAGAAAATAAATGCATTAAAAATTTGTATAAATCATGGGGAAAAAAAAAACCTATTTCAATAGCTACAACTGAAGACATCTATTGGAAGTTCCCAACCTTACCAATTCCTTTGCTCGAGTTCTCTCTCGAACTCATCTTTTCCTCTGGTTCACAAAGCGCGGGAGAAGAGGGGTAACCCTGATATTAGCTTCAGTTTGAAGCTTTTAAACCTATATACGTTTGGATTTGATGGAAAAGTATTACGGTAATAAGATCACTATAAAGACTTCCCCACATAATAATGGTAATAATAATTCAAATGTTTATCATATTTAAATTACTATAATACTTTTTGAATTTTTTACGATGTTTTAATTACTGTAAAGCTTAAAATGTATTACGGTAAAAAAACTACTGTGAAAGTCATTTTGGTCCAAAAAAAGCCGAAATTCGTGAGAAAGAGTGTAGGGGAGATTTTGAAAAGTTTAGTCGATTTTACTAAAATAAAAAGTATCTTAACTGATAATTTCCCTTTTTAAAATTTTATATTTTTAATCTTTTTTTTTAAGAGTGCGGTTTCTATAAGGTTGCAACCTTAAACATTCCAATTAAGGCGCACTTTAAAATTTTATTATAACATGTAATTTTATTGTAAAAAATACTTAATATTATCTTAAAATCTATTTTCATACTTAATTAGAAAATTTTAAATTCCAAAAATGGTTAAAATGAAGTAAATCTATAAATCTATGAAAATCTTGAAAATGGACTGTCTAGATAATGTATTGCAAGATGCACTATTTTCGAGACTCGATTTTTTTTTTTTCATAGTCATGAATGCCGATGTCGAGATGATCGATTAGAGGGTTTTTTCAACATTAAAAGAACATTTGTAATAGATTTTTGAGGTGCATATGTGATTTTACATTTTAAGGCTGCAACCTTATATAAACTTTTGCCTTTTTTTGAAATACCCAGCGACCAAGAACCCTTTCACATTTGTCTAGGGTTGTATATTAACCAGCAAAAATTGGAGCTTATAAAACGACCTTTCTGGCCATCTCGCCTTAATGATCGGACAGAAAGACCAAACTACCCCTATTCCCCATTGAAAACCAGTCTCTCTCTTCTTCCTAGAATCTTTTCCGGAACTTCGCCTGAGAAATAGCTTTCTTTTACCTCAATGTCTGGACAGAAAGACCAAACTTCCCCTACTCTCCCATGGAAAACCAGGATCTTTATCTCCTTAATGGGGTCTCTCATGGACCTTTGCCGTAGAGAGAACGGCACCGTCAATCGCCGTCTCCTCAACCTCCTCGAACAAAAGTCTACTGCTAACGGAAAACCGGAAATTGTCAACGGCGATCCGGAAACCACCGTGAAGGGCAGGGACGTAACCTTAGATCCCGCCAAAAACCTGTGGGTCCGCGTCTTCACACCCGACCGGAAACCAGACGGACTACCGGGAAGCGGTTTCCCGGTCATCGTGTTCTTCCACGGCGGCGGTTTCGTCTTCATGTCTCCGAAATCCAGGCCGTACCACGATCTCTGCAAGCGGTTTTCCGGCGAGATGCCCGCTATCGTGGTTTCGGTGAACTACAGGCTCGCGCCTGAAAACCGCTTTCCGGCACCTTACGATGACGGCGTGGAGGTGGTGAGGTGGATCGCAGGCGCCGGGAAACAGTTTGGAGATGACGGAAAACTGGTATTGGAGAAGGGCGGTTTATTCGAAACCGCCGATACCTCGAGGTGTTTTCTAGTTGGGGACAGCGCTGGTGGCAATATCGTGCACCATGTAGGTACGCTCTCCTTATTAAACACTAAGAGAGATCTGTTTTATTTGAGATGGAGTTCCTAATTCTCTTCATTGTTGACCAGCCATTTAACCAGATTTTGATCGAGGAAAGAAAATAGTCCAATTATGGATCGAACTACTCCTTTTTTGAAAAACAAAAT